GATAGGCCTATACACTACCAGTCAAAAGTTTTTGAACAATAAGATTGTTAATGCTTTTTAATGATGTCTCCTCTGCTCACCAAGCCTGCATTTATTTGATGAAAAATACAGCAAAAGCAGTAAAATTTGTGAAATATTTTTACTATTTAAAATAACTGTTTTCTATTTGAATATATTTTAAAATGTAATTTGGTTTAATTTGGAAATTGCATGTTTTGATATCAGGATCAGGTAATTTCGTGCCAGTTTTTCAATGCAACATTGGACTGGATCACAAACTGTTCCAGATTATGAGTGCTCTAAATGGGACTACGTATCAAAATGTGGGCTACTAGCTATATGAAGAGCAACAGGTAGAGTTAGCTCACTTTAAGTGTTTTAACCGCAGTAAAACAATACAAACATTCTCTTCCATTTCAGTTTCTTTTAAACATTTTAAACATCCACAAAAATCAATATAAACGAACAAATGTACGTTAGCGTTCAAAAGTTATTTTTTGATTGTTTTTTTAAAGTCTCTTCTCTCACCAAGGATGCATTTAATTGATGATAAGCACTAAAACAGTAAAATTGCGAAATATTGTAATTTAAAACAACAGATTTCTATTTGAATGCATTTTAAAATGTTATTTATTTAGAGCATATTAGAAATGATTTCTGAAGGATCATGTGACACTGAAGACTCTGAAGACTGTGCTGAAAATTTTGCTTTGATCACAGAAATAAATGACATTTTAATATATATTCAAATAGATCAAATAGAATATAAATTGTTATTACATTTCACAATATCACTGTTTTTATTGTATTTTGATAAAAAAAAAAAAGAATGCAGCCTTTGTGAGCTTACGAGACTTTTTTGAAAAATATTACTGCCCCCAAAATTGTGAACGGTAGTGTATATACAAAAATTTAATTTGTTTTCGGAGCCCTATAGAAGCCTGACGATGAAATGAGATCATGTTAATGCATGGAAATTTTGTATGAGTTACTTTATATCTCTTTAACTGAACTCACACACACATTAAGACAGAACAGTTTATTATTCAACTCAACCCAGAATTGGAAAAACAGACACACACTAATGCTAAATCTCATTCCATATTCTCACCAAGCTATTTTAAGATTATTTTGTTTTCTGCCAGCTTAATCAGGTAGCGACAGCCCTTGGGTGGTGCTCTAATCCTTAACTAAGACAGTTCAAATGCAGACAGAACTCCACCATGGCTGCCGTCAGTCATCTATTCCTCTCTGTTACTGCCCTTGTGGGAGCTGTGGCTGCATTTATCACACAATCATGCGTATCATTATTATTCCATTTAGACAGGTGTGCTGCCTGCGGTACCTGTGGTGCAAAACAATGCGTAGTAAATGTAGACAAATTTACAAACACACAATGACACACTTTACCCTCCATTTCCCTTCCCTCCCCTCCCCAAAAAATCCCCTGCATTGCTCTCCAAGAGACTGCATTTATTTTGCAGTTCAGGGGCAAAAGCAGCTGACAATTATAAACTTGATTAAAACACAGTTATGCAAATCAGATGTGACGGGCCCATGTAGCTCTGAGCAGCCTAGTGACACAAACCCACTCAGACTCTATCAATCACAATTACCTTCCCTTCCTGTGATGCCTACAATACTGATTAGACTAGAAGAACAATAGCTACAGCATACTTAAAAGCAACAAACAGATGTTATC